CTCAAAACCTTTATTTTTTTGTGCTGGAATTTCTGGTTTTAAGAGCATAGAGAAGAAAGTACATGGGATCATGGACTCACAGAAAGGTTTGGGTTGGAAGGGACCTTAAAGGTCATCTAGTGCAACGCCTCAGCCATGGGCAGGGACACTTTCCACTGTCCCAGCTGCTCCCAGCCCCAGTGTCCAGCCTGGCCTTGGGCACTGCCAGGGATCCAGGGGCAGCCCCAGCTGCTCTGGGCACCCTGTGCCAGGGCTGCCCACCCTCACAGGGAAGAGTTTTTTGCCCAAAATCCCATCCATCCCTCCCCTCTGGCAATGGAAGCCATTTCCCGTGTCCTGTCCTATCATTGTCACCACTAACCTTCAGTGTCTGTGGGAGTTTCTGTTTTTCTGATTCCCACACTGTTCTTCCATGCCTTGTCCCCAGTCCCTCTCCAGCTCTCCTGGAGCCCCTTTAGGCCCTGGAAGGGGCTCTGAGCTCCTGAAGCTTCTCCTCTCCAGGAGCATTCCCAGCTCTCCAGCCTGGCACTCTCATCACCTTTGTGGCCTCCTCTGGACTTTCTCCAAGAGCTCCATGTCCATGTCCTGCCCCAGAGCTGTGCTCCTGCTCCAGGTGGGCTCTCCCAAAGTGGGAGACAGCAAACATCAGTGCTTTTAGCACAGTTTAAAACTGTGGATGAAAAAATGCTCCCAAATGCCCCCCTGGTAGAATCCTTTGTCCATCCAGTCATTGAGTCTGGTTTGACTTGATGTAGTTTCTCTGTCCTCACACTGAAGGCCAGGCAGGTAATTATGAAATGTGACCCTCTGTGAAGGGAAGGATTTTATTTAGCTCCCTGTGGAATGTCAGGAGCCACGTTGCATACAACTAATTACAAGCCATAATTCTCCTCTTAATTATTATTTTTTCCTTTATATCTTACTGATTTTTACCCATTTCAGCGCTGCATGGGCCAAGGTCACCTTGGGCACAGGCAAAGCTGAGCCTGTTGCAGGGCTGGCTTTAGCAAAGTTAATTCCAGCTCTGGAGGGCCTGGAAACCACTTTGCTGGATTAAACAAACCTGCCTATTTCAGCCTGGCCCTGTCAGGATATAATTTCAAACTTGGAAACCAGAGAAGCAAAATGACCCCTTTTGGTTCTATTTCTTGTACTGATCTCTATCCTCAAACTGTGGATTTAGACACTGGATACAGCTGAAAATGCATTTCTGTTTCCAAACGAATTAATGCCGCTGGTTTGAGTTCATTTTCACTCTTTTCCTTATCTGTAGATATTTCGCTTTATTTCTATTATATAATTGCTAGAATTTATTTAAAGTTGTGTGTGCTGATCTCACTCATGCACCTCAATCCAATAAAATCCTTTCTTTTTATAGAGAGGGAGCTGCAAAGACAGATGTTTTAGGACTCCCCATTCCATCTTATTACATTTAAAGAGTTTTTTCCTCTTCAAATGTAATAAGAAATGACTTGGAGTCTTCTCTCCCAGTCCCAGTAGGGAAAAGCTCACAGCCCTGCAGTGGGATCACAGCCCAAAGGAAAGGGGGATCCAGCAATAATTAAGATTTTGCTCAGTGACAAATCCTTTGCATTCAAATTTCAGAATGGGCATCCCACCAAGGTGAACAAATTTTATCCCAATGTATCTTCTCCAAAAGTATTTCAGGAATAGAAATGTGTTATTTTGTGCCTAGATATCATTATTATTAGACTGTATTCCTAAGACCACCCCCACATTCACAGGGGAAGCCCTTAATCCCTAAACTATCCTTCCTTTTCTCTTTCTCAATGAGGATCAATGTGATTTTAAAAAGGGAAAAAAAGCAGTACTTATGAAACATGTACTAGTTAAAGTAGTTTTACTGCAGAACTGTTCTGACTCAGAAATAAGCTGCTGCCCCTTCATCTTCTAGTTAATCAAGTGCTGATTTATTGGTCTTTTTAATCTGCTTTATCAGTGAGAATTCTTGCTTGACCTTGACTTAATGTTTCACTAATTTCCTTCAGAATATTGAGTTTTTCTAACATCAATTCAGACCAAAACCCCTCAGCTCCAAGTAAGAAAGAAGCAAATTAGGCGGGGGAATGCTTTTCCTGGGTTTTTTAATACAATTTGATGCAGATTTTGGAAGCAAATCCTCTAAATAAGAGGAGAAAGTTGTGGAGATTCCTACTTCAATCATCCTGAAGTTTGGCCTCTTAGGATATCAGGGAAAAGCTTGTGTGCACTGATGAAATCTTCTCTTATGCCACAAAAAATATTACCAAAAAAGGACAACAGCAAACTGCAGTTTTAGGAGAGAAGTAGAATAATTGAGTCTGTGAGAAAAGAAAGTAGAACCCCCCAAAAATTCTTCATTATGGTTTAAATAATGTCACCCGCATTTGGTCCACTTGGCCTCCACAGTCAATAATTTTAAAGGGATCAATATGGGAGTAAGTTTTGGCACCAGCATGGAAATTATTTTTGTGGTTCTTAAGGAAGACTTAGAACAAGTGGCTCTCAAACATTCTGAGGAGGGGGCTCTGTACCCCCAGAAGGTGCTTTTCTGATTATTCTCTGTGGAAAATATAAAGCCGTGCTCTAATATCTGTATTTATAGTCATTTCCATTTCACCCTGCGACTCAGTTCTGAAAATACTGATTGTAAGGAGAGGGTATCAAAGTGTTTCATGGGATTTAACCTGAACTTCTAGGGGGTTGTGGCAAAAATGTGCAAACACTTTAGGAAATACTCCACAGCCCCTGCAAGAAAAGCTAAAAAACACCCAACCCCTAACAAACAAAAAACCTGAATTAATTTCGCAGCAGTATGGATTAAAAAAGAGGAGGAAAAACTAAAACACAAACCTCAAATGCCCTTTCTGAAAGAGACTCATTTTTCTTTGCCATTAGAAATTTGTAATTTCAAGTGTTTCTGTTTGTAGTCACCCTAACACCTGTGCAGCGGGTAATTTTTGCTGTATTTGTGCTTATGAATTCCAGTCAGACTAAGAAAAAATATAGTCTCATCTCCTTGCAGATGGAAAAGAAGGAAATGAGCATTTGTTTGAAAGAAAAATCGATGGTGAAGCAAGATTCTGAACCTGGGTCTTGTGCAAAGCAATGCAGCATCCTTAACTGGGGCCATTATTGTGCTCCATGAGAAGAAGTTTCAGCTTTAGGAATTCTCTGAGAGATGATTCTGTCTTGTAACAGCCTGTTCTATTCTGCAGCTGCTTTTTTAACTTTGCAACTTTACCAACATCCATTGACTGTCAAATAAGTACCACTGTGAACTCATGAATAAACATAGTTGTCATTTCCATATTAAGAGGGCCTTCAGCTGAAAAGAATCCATTTGTGCCACTGCAATATCTTAATTATTTACTGTGTTATATTGTAATTAATTGTGGTTTGCTCTCTCAAAACTCCATATTCTGTAGATCTCACGGGTTTTGGAAGCAATGCACTAATATTGAAGTCATAATCAACACTGCTTCTAAATATTCATGCCAATAAATGACTCCCACGTGTTTGCTGAGTGCCAAGGATAGTCTGAAGCATTTATTTAGCATTCTAGTGGGATCTGGTTTCTGCAGAGTTCACAGAGATGCAGAATTTCAATGCTGTTGCTGAGAAAGCACGTTTGGATTCTCACGAGCAGGACACTTTGGATAAAGCAGTGGTATCTCACTCCCAGCCTGGGCTCAATAAAGCCTGAGAGCACTGGGGAGTTCTCAGCTATTTCTCATTTGAACAATTTTGTTTAGTCTATGACAGCCTCCCAATAATTTTGCTTTTTAACAAACATCTCTAATTTTTCAAACAATTTGAAAATTGCTGCATTCCAGGGACGGGGATGCTCTGTCTGTCACAGGGGCTCCACTGGGGCTTTGCTGCAGCAATCACAAATTCAGACACATTTCTCAATAAATCAATTAAACACTAGAATCCTAAAATGGTTCTAGCTGCAATTGGCTGACACAAATCTCCAGAAAAGCATCTTGAGTATACAGGGGAACAGCTGATTTATGGAGCTACTGTTGGAATTTCAAACAAGGAAATGCTGTCGTGCAAACCAGTGAGTTTGTTTAATTAAATGTAAGTTAAATGTAAACAGTTTTAAAATATATTTGAGCTGAGTCTTTTGGATCAAGAGTAGCCAGCATATTGCAAACTGTCCTTTCTCCTTGAAGTGCCTGTGTTAGGTGCATTGCCCCTTCCTGCAAGTCTTTATGCTCCACTGGCCCAAATGCCCTCTCACAGCTCACCCAAAAATTACTGGGTTTACCTTTGGCTGCTTGAGATGAAAAAGAACTGGGGTCTTAGAACCAGGGGAAAGGCAGTATGAAGATTGCATGCAGTCATGATGGTGCTTGAAAATGCAATCCAGATGTCCTGATCCACTCTGGAGTGCAACAGGGATTTCTGTGGGCTCTGTTGCTGGTGTTTTGTTTAGAAAGTTCTCTTAAATACTTGTATCTGCATAAATACTTTGTCTGTTGTCACAGAGATACTGGGTAATACTATTGACCATATTTTTATTGATATTTCACTTCTTTTGAACTTGACAATGCTTATGTGTCCCTTTCAACTCGGGATATTCTGTGCCTTTAATTCTGCAACACCACTTCTTCTTTCTTTTAAGATGAAACTTAATTCTGCCTTATGAAAAGCTTAAAATGCATCTTAAAAATTTGAAATACGTCTTGGATACTGGGAAGGAATTGTTCCCTGTGAGGGTGGGCAGGCCCTGGCACAGGGTGCCCAGAGCAGCTGGGGCTGCCCCTGGATCCCTGGCAGTGTCCAAGGCCAGGTTGGACACTGGGGCTGGGAGCAGCCTGGGACAGTGGAAGGTGTCTAAAGGAAGGGGTTTTAAGAACTAAATGGTTCTTAAAACCCCTTCCTAGCCAACCTTCCTTTGACTCCATGATGTGTCCATTTCCCTGGCAGAGCCGGGTGCAGGATGATGAGCTCTGGGTTTGGACTCAGCCAACTCTGTTTTCCTTTTTCAGAACCACCCGGCACTGCTGCAGTTTGTAATTCAAGCTGAAAATAAACATCTGGTCATCGATCTGGAGAGGAATGAGTAAGTACCCTGCTGCATGGTCACTTTGTACTTTTGGAGGAGGGTTGTAATTTTAAAATTGATGGTTTAAAGTTAATCTGGGGCCAGTTTTGTTACTGGTCCCTATAAAGAGTCTCCTAACAAGAGAGTTTCGTTCCAGTTTGGATTATGGATATTTGTGCATTGCTGATAGAGCAAGAATCTCTATGGTTGTGTACATTTATGTGGGGTTGAAAATGGACATGTTGCCTCTCAGGGTTTTCCTGTGTATTTCTTTTGGATTTGTCCTCCTTTCCTGTGGTAAGGCCTTTTATTTATAGTAATCTGGAATATCCTACAGTCTGTGGACTTTTTTGGGGAGGACTCATCCCTCGTAATGCTGTCTGCACCCATGATCTGCTCCATGCAGTGTCCGTCCAGGGTGAAGGGTCAAGGCTTGGGGATTAACCCCTGCTGGAATGTTAAATGGAGCTCTCTGGGTTTGCTGGCAGGGGGCTGATGATGGGATGGTTGTGCTGTTCCTGCAGCCCCGGACCAGTGCGGGGCTTGAGCCTGTGTTTGTGTGCACCTTTTTCCATGTGCTCTTGGCAAATCCTGCTCATGTCCATGAGGTTTCAGAGGGGGATCAGGGACTGCTGTAGATGTGGTCCCATAGGCAGAGTTGTTAAAAGCCAAAACTGTACAGGAATGAAATCACTGCTTTGGAAGTCCATGACAAATGGAAAAAGTCATCAAAGTCTTTGTCTACCCTGCAAGTGTTCTGTTTTCCTCTAAGAGAATCTCAAGGATGTATGGTGGGAATCCAGATCAGGACAACTGCGTGCTGTTTGTCAAAGGCAAACCAAAGATCACTCTCAACCCAGGGAAAACCTTTTACAACAGTTCCCAAGGATCTGTGAGTTGTGCAGGTTCCCCTGCTGGGGAATCAAAGCCACAAAGGTATTTTTGTCAGTTTAATAGAGGGAGAGATGCAGTTGGATGTGTCAGGAGGAAGGAATGTGCCTGTGAAAGCAAATGTCCAGGGGAGGCCAAGGACATCCTGCCTCGGGCTGGGGATGGACAACATCAATGGAAAACCATGGGGCACCTCTTTAGTCCTCTGGAGTAAAACAGTGCAAGATGCTTTTTATTCCCAGTCATTTGGATGAACCCCAACATTACCCAGCTGTGATGAATTCCAGTTCACTTTATTACTCGACATCAAGCTCAAATCTTCAGCTTCCTTTGTTATTTTTAGAGCCCCTTAGCTGTTGGAAACCTGTCCTTGAGGGTGTGTAGATCCCCCATGCACAGGTTGCTGTGTTCCAGTAACTAGAGGAGAATTTAATTCCTTTAGTAAACAGGGATTTCACTTTATATTCTCTTAATCTTTGTCGAAGGGTGTGCCTTCCTGCAGGAATGGGAAGTATGCAGCAATTGAGGAAACTATTTACATTCCATGTCAGCGATTAAAAGAATATAAAAACATAAAAAACCATAAAACTGCTAATACAGGCTTTGCTGAACATACCAAACTCTCTTGTACCTGTAATAAAGGCAGATTTAGAAGATTGTAAGATGCAATCTCCACCTCTTTTAGAAGCAGGACAAGAAAATGCAATAAATTACCTCTACAGGCGTCTGTCTGACTGCGTGGATTTGGAGATGTTGAGATCTGCTCCTGAAGAAATACATTTATCATTGATTATTTTTCAGTTGGGGTAAACTGGGATTGTTTTTTTTTAGTTCGGTGGGGTGTCCAGCTGAAGGTTTGCATTCTGGAAGAGCTGTGTGTGGTGTTGACAGCATGAGGTTCTTCATCCCAGCAGGAGCTTTGAGGCAGTGTTGTGGAATGGAACCATCAGCCTTGCCTGGCTTTGGCATTTGTAGCACACGAGGCAGTTCACAGACCCCAAACCACAGGAAAAAATTGGTCACGGTCTTGCAAAATCATTTTGCTCTTTTCTTCACTTCTGACTTTGATTTTCCTAAGAGATTATGGTCTGGGTGTTGCAAGTCCATGCAGGAGTTTTCTCAGCGTGTGCATGTGTAGATCAATTTCTGTTTCTGTAAATCACACCAGGCACTGCTCTGCAGAGCTGGGCTGTGCTTCCCAGGGACAACAGTGCCAAGCCCTTTGTGCTTGTCTGTGGAAACTGTGGTTGTGTTTCTTCTGCCTGTAGTGCAGGTGTTGGCTTTGCTGTGACTGGCACAGGAGGTGACGGGGCAGGAGCACCCTGCTGCTTCCAGGGACTCTGCAGGGGCATGGAGTGGGAAATAATGCCCAGGAGAGAGCTGAGAGCCTGCATTTCTGCAGAGCAAACATCTGATGGCAGCAGGCCAGGCTGGACCTGTGGGTTCCTGACTCTAGAGGTGGGAAAAGCTCATCAAAAACCTGGGGAAGGGAGCAGCATTCCCATCCCTGTGTCCTGGGGATCTCCAAGGATGCAGATGAGCCCCTGCTCCCTCTTTCTGATATTGGTGTGGAACATGGAGCTCAAATACAAGCATTGAGCCATTTCTCACCTGCTGCAGGTAGGAGTGGAGAGAGAAACACAAACACCTTGTGTGGAGTAAAAAGTGGCAGCACACGAAGCTCTGAGACATGTGCTGTTATCTTTCTGTGGTTTCATGTAAAGCATTGGAGAATGGTGGGGGTGGAGGTGCATGGGACTCCTAATTTACATAATTTCTTCATTGGGTCATGCAAAAAAAACCTGGATGTGATTTTCCATGATTAGGAGGAACAGCTGCTTTGAGTAGTCTTGACATTAAACTCCATTTATTGAAAACCTTAGAGATTTTCCAAACCTTGAGTTATGTTTCAAAACACGATTCAGATACATTAGACAACCCCAAGTGGGGAGCAACGTGTGAAACCATCTGTTATCTGTGGAAACACTGAATGTCATTTTGGTGGTTTCTCATATTTAGACCCATCAAAATGTGTTCATATGTACTGGGCAAGATGTTCTGAGTGACTTCTGGAAGAGTTACTGGTACCTGACTTGGCAGCCTAGGGTTTGAAATCTCGATGGCTTGCAGCTGTTGAGATTACTTCTGTGGATATTCATTAAATACTTTGGTGATGAATTTCCAGGCGCTGCCCATTTGTAATTGCAACCCCAAAATTATTTGTGCTGGACTCAATTTGTCACAGGCAGAAAACCTGTGAGCGAGCTCACATTGCAAGTACATTCCTTACCATGATTTAGCTGCAAAAGATGATTGCACTCTTGAGAACCTTCAGCTCTGTAGTACCTTAAATGTTTTAGAAACACTTGTCATATGGAGAGATTTCCAGAATCAGCAAAGCATCCATCAGCTGCAAAATAAACCACTTTTTGGAGCAGCTGGCTGGGCTGGGGTGCATTACATGTGTAATACTGATGCTCTGCTGGTGTGCAAGGGACAGTAATGTATGCACTCAGAAATCCCTTGGAAGTTGATTGCAGCATGTGGGTCTTAGAGGGAAGCAGTTCACGGCTGTGTCAGTGAAACAGAGCCCCTGGAAGATTAAATCTGAGCTGGAGAGTGGAACAGTCTGTGGCTACTGGCTGCTTGTCTGTGACTGGAAACGTTTTGCTCTGTGTCAGGGCACGTCTGTACACAGCAAAGCTCTTCAGTGTTCTTTTAACTTCAAACATGTGAGTGACCCAGGTGAAGTCAGCGGAATTACTGATTTTCAAAGTTAATTTCATGCTTACATGATCTGCTGACAAAGGTCATAATTATGAATGTCAGAGCAATGTAACTGTGAACAGATGCTGAGGAACTTTCCCAGTGCTGACTCCTGTGTGTACCTGAGGCTGGGGATGTCACAGAAGGATGAAAAGCTGAGATAAGCTGAGGGCAGATGAAGGTGAGTATGGAGGGAGGATTGCTTTGTCCCTGAGGACATCAGGAACATCCCAGGTATGTCCTGGACAGTTTCCTTCTGCCAGGATTTCATTGTCCAGCTTTGCAGAGGGAGCAGTGAGGGTGACATCAGTGTGGTTGTGGCTGGTGGGCCACTGGCAGTGTCCACTGGAACATGGAAATGGAAAGAAAAATCTGGAATATTTTAGAGGAGCTGAGTTCACTCTTCATTTCCCCATCATTTTATGCTCCTTTTTGTCAGGTTTATAGCCCAGCCTTAACAAAGCAATATAAAAAAGGCAATATATGAGGTTACATTGCTGCCTTTTATTCCCTCTGTAAAAATTCTTCTATTTTTTCAGGAGACAAAATCCAACTCAGGCCTCCATCTTATCCTATAAATCCCTTAGGATCCCAGAGAACTCCAGAGGTTTAGGTCACCTCTGATTGTCCCCCTTGCACATTTTCCACTTCTTCATGGAGACCCAGTAGCCAGGATGGGTTGGGATGTAATGGCTCAGTGTTGGAGGTCACTCTGAAAGCTTTCCCCCAGGACTGAGGAGGCTCAGCAGAATTCCATGGGCTGGGAATCAGGCAGCAGCCATCTTCATGCACAGTGCTGATACGACCAGCTCCAGTGAGGCTTCAGAGTTCAGCAATGTTTTGTTTCCTCTTTTTGGTTAAAAGAAAAGAAGTCGTTCTCTCCACTTTTCTGCCCGACCTCCCTGAATGGGAGCACTGATTGGTGTGCAAGTGACATTGGAGCTGGATTAATTTAGCAGGGAAACAACTCATTCCCAGTGCCAAAGGAAACAGCTGACAGGATTTGTTAATGAACTGACATGCTTCTATAGAATCAATGCCTTGAAATACAGAGAGAGAAACAAATCTAAACAAACAAACCCCAAGCAGAGAGCTGGGACCTGTCAGAATATACTTGCTATTATAATTCTGTGCTGTGTCTTAGCCAAAAAACTGTGACCTCAGCCTGGTTTATCTGCAAGTGCTGGAGCTGGCAGCTGTACTGCAGCATTTCAGCCTCAGCTGACAGTTGGGATTTCACTAGAATTGAAGTAAAAAGTTTCACTTTACTGGAAGGAGCAGTTTCTCCCGTTCTGCAATGGCACTATGGCAGTCAGGTGGTCTAAACCACACCAAAATATGGCAATTCAGCCACCAGAGCT